CAGGGAACATTAAGGTTTTTTGCCGTGCAAGACCATTGTTTGAGGATGAAGGTCCCTCTACTATAGAATTCCCCGGGGATAGCACCATATGTGTAAATACTAGTGATGATACTCTGTCCAATCCCAAGAAGGACTTTGAATTTGACCGAGTTTATGGACCTCATGTTGGTCAAGGTTAGTACCATAGTTCCCTGTAAATGTGGTCTCTCCTTATGTACATGAACTCTTTCTGGTTTCGATGTACAAAAGTTGCAAGCAACGCGATCTCTTTACTTATACTCTATTTTTACGCAGCTGCACTGTTCGGTGATGTCCAACCTTTTGTTCAATCTGCACTGGATGGATCTAACGTCTCTATATTTGCCTATGGACAAACTTATTCAGGGAAGACATACACCATGGTTGGTCATTCTTTTCCTTGTCCTCTGAAAGCTTACAAATAGGTCGCATATTGTTGAATACCTATATCAATGGATATGCTGTAATAGTTTAGTAACTAGCTTTGCTTTTGTGAGATTTAAACATAGCTTGTGTATATGTTGATTTATGAGGTATACATTATCGTATACATTATCACAGGCATCTTTATGCTGTTTCTAGTAATGTCTATTTCTCAGTGATTTGTTATCTCTCTATGGCTGTCCATTAAATCGTCTTTATTGACTGTTATTTTGTCAGGAAGGTTCGAATCACGACCGTGGTTTATATGCTCGTTGTTTTGAGGAACTTTTCGACCTAGCCAATTCTGATTCAACTTCCACATCTCGATTCAGTTTCTCTGTTTCAGTGTTTGAGATTTATAATGAACAGGTGATTCCAATCATGTCTGAAGTACTAAAACTTTTATGCTTTCATTTCTTTGCAAAGATGGTTCTTAATGGAATCTGAAACTCCTAATTCAAAGCAACTATCATTTTCAGATCAGGGATTTACTTTCGGAAATTGAGAGCAACTTGCCGAAGATCAAGATGGATTTACACGAATCTGTTATCGAACTCAGACAGGAAAAAGTTGATAATCCGTTGGAGTTCTTAAGAGTTCTAAAATCTGCACTTCAGAACCGGGGCAATGATAAATCAAAATTTAATGTGACCCATCTGTATGTTTTATTTTGTTCCTCCTTTTTGTTATATGCAGATAATTTTCAGCGAAGGTTCTTTAGTCACATGTCTTATGATGACTTCTCTCTTGGTAGGATTGTCACAATACACATATACTATAGCAACACGATTACGGGAGAAAATATATACAGCAAGCTTTCTCTGGTTGACTTGGCTGGAAGTGAAGGTTTAACCGAGGAATATGACAGTGGAGAACACGTCACTGATCTCCTTCATGTCATGAATTCAATTTCAGCGTATGTTAAATTGTTCTTTTCTCTATTCTTATTCACTTGTCCTTTAACAGTGAGCTGCACATATAACTTCGATGTCTTTATGATGTAAAGTTCCGACAAAATTTTCCATATGTATGCTCCAATGCATGAACTTGTTCTTGTTAACGTGACTTACTGTATCTATCACTGGTTCTATAGGTTGGGAGATGTATTATCTTCTTTGACGTCAGAAAAAGATTCAATTCCTTATGAGAATTCAGTTCTTACGAGAATACTTGCAGATTCACTAGGTAAAAAGTTTCTTCTTTTGAATACTTGCATCTTTCCTATTTGTTTCACATTGAATATTTTTTCTTTGTTTTCATCAGTCTTGCCGCATTTTTTGAACCGATTTGTAACTGAGATACAATTTCCTGTGATGTGTAGGGGGAAGCTCCAAAACATTGATGATCGTTAACATTTGTCCAAGTGCGGAAAATTTGTCTGAGACAATATCATCTCTAAATTATGCTGCTAGAGCTAGGAATATTGTACCAAGCCTTGGGAATCGAGATACAATAAAGAAATGGAGAGATGTGGTAAGTGGAAGTGGAAGAGAAACAATTACGAAAAGAGAACACAGATGTCAGATGTTTCAGCTCATGATTTTACTTGATTGATCTGTTGGTTTTACTCTTTTCTTGTAATATAAAATTATGCTGAATTAGCTTTTCCTTTTTCGAGATATTTGGTTTGTTATAGAATTTGCTGCGTAGTAACCTTTCTTTTCTCCTGAAGGCAAGTGATGCTCGGAAGGAGCTGTTGGACAAAGAGAGAGAAAATCAGAATCTGAAACAAGAGATTGTGGGCTTAAAACAAGCACTTAAAGATGCAAATGACCAGTGTGTGTTGCTCTACAGTGAAGTGCAGAGGGCATGGAAAGTTTCATTTACATTGCAATCAGATTTAAAGGTTATACAGCTTCACCTCGGTTCTTGTATGCCTTTTCTACAATTCTTTATAATTTTTTGTTTGTTCCTCATTATCCGTTTCGTATCTCTTGCAGTCAGAGAATACTATGCTTGTAGAAAAACATAGACTAGAGAAGGAGCAGAATTCTCAGTTAAGAAATCAGATAGCTCAATTTTTACAGTTGGATCAGGAACAGAAGCTGCAAATGCAACAACAAGATTCCACCATTCAAAATCTCCAGGTTGGTGCTCCATGAGTATTAGTATGTACTCTTTAAAGTTTAAGATCTATAATTGTTGACTTCTCTGCACATGATAGTCATATTATTCTCTTGTTTTCCATTTAATTTTGATGCAGGCTAAAATTATAGATTTGGAATCACAAGTAGGTGAAGCCGTTAGATCCGACACAACAACAACAGGAAATGCCTTGCAGTCTCAGGACAAATTTTCTTCGATACCAAAAGCGGCTGAGAGCACAATTGACTCTTCTTCTGTTACCAAGAAACTAGAGGAAGAACTGAAAAAACGTGATGCACTGATTGAGGTTCTGCTCTGTCTTACTCTTGACTGTATTCTGTTTGGCGGAATTCTTTCCTTCTGGCTGAATCATTGATATGTTCCATAGTACATTTACCTAAAAAGAACAATTTTTTCCGCAGAGGTTGCATGAAGAAAATGAAAAGTTGTTTGAAAGATTAACAGAAAGATCAATGGCTGTTTCGACCCAGGTAATTCCCTGCTCTTTTGCAGTTATGCTACATTAAGCATGTTTGAGTATCATGTATCACCGACATTGCTCTCTTACACCTGTTGGGAGGAAAATTAATATATCTATGCTCTTTAACAGTTGCTACTGTATTTTCAACACTATGCACCTACAGACTTACTTGCTCCCAGCACTCCATTGCTTAAGCGCTCCTTCCAATTTTTATTTTAGGTATCAAGTCCCTCATCAAAAGCCTCGCCAAACAATCAGCCTCCCAATGTTCACAGGTGATCCCATGATCAGTTTGAATGATTGAGTCATGATTCTGTCTTTTTCATTTTATTAACCCTCATCACCAACTGATATGTAATATTTTTTCTCCGGGAGATATAGTAGAGGCGAAGCATTTTCGGCAGAAGCTGTTGCTTTACCGTCTACAGCAAATAAGAATAGCGGAGCGATTACTGTAGTAAAATCTGGCTCTGAATTAGTAAAAACCACTCCAGCTGGAGAATACTTGACAGCTGCATTGAATGACTTTGACCCTGAAGAATATGAAGGTCTTGCTGCCATTGCTGACGGCGCAAACAAGCTACTGATGCTGGTATTTGATAGTTCTAGTATTTTTTAAGACTTTTCAGTGGTGCTGACACCATTACACCTTATATCATGATTTGGAGAGTGATGTCTATGATGGACGCTGGATGTCTCTAAACATCTATCGCTGTTGAGGACTGGTAGATATCAACTTATATTGAAAAGCTGTTTTCCTATTGTTGACTTGCAGGTTTTGGCTGCTGTTATCAAGGCTGGTGCTTCCAGAGAGCATGAAATCCTTGCTGAGATCAGAGATTCAGTCTTTTCATTTATCCGGAAAATGGAATCAAGAAGAGTAATGGATACCATGCTTGTTTCCCGAGTCAGGATATTATACATAAGGTCCTTACTGGCACGGTCACCTGAGCTTCAGACTATCAGGGTGAGCATTGGCATACGACCTTTGATTTTAGCTTCGCTTTGGCCTTGGCATGTATGACTATGTCTTTGCTCCAAGCAAAGTTAACCCGACCCTCTTCATTTAGGTCTCTCCTGTCGAAAGCTTTCTTGAGAAGCCTAATACTGGTAGAAGTAAAAGCACTAGCAGGGGTACCAGCCCAGGCAGATCCCCAGTTCGATATTCGGATATGCAGATTCATGGTTTTAAAGTAAATATAAAGCCAGAAAGGAAGAACAAGTTTTCATCTGTGGTTTCAAGAATGCGTGGACTGGAACAGGTGCACTTGATTCTCAAAGGTGCTTGATTTTATCTAATATATTAAACATCAAGAGACACTTATATGCCCTTAATTGTAAACATCTAGGATTATGGGAGGCAGCAAGTTACTGGAGTTAAGCTGCGGGAGATGCAAGATGAAGCCAAAAGTTTTGCTATTGGGAACAAAGCCCTAGCTGCATTATTTGTTCACACTCCGGCTGGCGAACTGCAGCGACAGATTCGGTTATGGCTTGCAGAAAATTTTGAGTTTCTTTCCGTTACAGCAGATGATGTGTCGGGAGGAACCACTGGGCAACTAGAGCTCCTTTCCACCGCAATTATGGATGGTTGGATGGCTGGACTAGGGGCCGCGGTGCCACCTCACACAGATGCTCTCGGCCAGCTTCTGTCTGAGTATGCAAAACGTGTTTATACTTCTCAAATGCAGCACATGAAGGTACGTGATGTCATTGGTCAAAAAATTATTGTGAGTCGAGATGGCAGATCGACATTCCCAATGGGTTTGAAATGAGAAATCTCTTTAAATAGCTGAGGTTATGGCTGCCGCTTAACACGGCCTATCTTGAGGTGTAAGGCTTTTAGTCTGAACAATTTGTTTGGAATGATGTCTAATATAGAACTGTGCTATAGGATATTGCTGGTACCTTGGCAGCAGAAGAGGCAGAAGATGCTGGTCAAGTGGCTAAGCTTCGATCTGCTCTCGAGTCCGTTGACCACAAAAGAAGAAAGGTACACCACCCCGTCTGAAAATATATGGTACAGTTCCGTGGTTACTTTGATTGTTAACTTAGAAATGTTCTTGTGCTCTGACTTCTTTATCAGATTTTACAACAAATGAGAAGTGATGCAGCTTTGCTTAACTTAGAAGAAGGCAGTTCTCCTGTTCAAAATCCTTCGACTGCAGCTGAAGACTCAAGATTAGCGTCTCTCATCTCTCTGGATGGCATATTGAAACAAGTCAAGGTATATGTACTTCCATTTGAGAACATGTTGCTTCATACATGATCGTAGTAATTGGTTAATTTGTGAGAAAAATAGTGGTCAATATCCCTTTTTGCATCTTGCAGGACATTACAAGACAAGCCTCTGTCCATACTTTGAGTAAAAGCAAGAAGAATGCATTACTCGAGGCCCTTGATGAACTCACTGAGCGAATGCCTTCTCTTCTTGATATTGATCATCCATGTGCACAAAGAGAAATCGCTACAGCACGCCAGTTGGTTGAGGTACTTTTGTTTTCCATGTTTAATCAGTTCCTCCATGAACCTGCCATAGATACACGCAGAGGTCTACCTGATATAGCGATAAGATCCGGATTTGTATATAAAACAAACTAACTTTTTTCTTTCTGATTTTATTAACCGCAGACAATCCCTGAACAAGAGAACAATAATCTTCTGGAACAATCGCACGACCGGAGACCCTCATTAGAATCAATATCCTCAGGTGAAACCGATGTGTCTCAGTGGAACGTTTTGCAATTCAACACAGGTTCTTCAGCCCCATTCATCATAAAATGTGGAGGTAACGCCAACTCAGAGCTCGTGATCAAGGCTGATGCACGTGTTGAAGAGCCTAAAGGAGGTGAAATTGTCAAAGTTGTCCCAAGACCTTCTGTGTTAGTTAACATGAGCTTAGAGGAAATGAAACAAATGTTTGCTCAATTACCCGAATCTCTAAGTTTGCTGGCTTTAGCTAGAACAGCTGATGGTACAAGAGCTCGCTACTCTAGACTCTACAAAACTCTGGCCATGAAGGTTCCCTCTCTTAGGGACCTTGTTGGGGAGCTGGAGAAAGGTACCTAAGTCATGAAATGGCATAGATCTAGCAATGGAGATTCCTTGTGTATTTATTCTTACTTGTGAGATTTTTGGCTGGGCACATTCGGCGCATTTATGTTACCTTATAGCTCCAGATTCATTGTGTAATATGTAACTTTATTCTGTATCATGCTCTCATTCACACAGCAATAAGTGTTACTTTCATAGCAAGTGAACTTTTTAAATTGCTTTCTCATGTGTTTAAGAAGGCAAAATCTTAGTCAAGAAGCAATAATGTGGTTTGTACAATGAAAACTACCATTTAAAGGAGGATAAAACATAAGTTGGGAATGCATTGTGTTTAGCAGTAAGGGTCTTGACTGAGTCTGGACTTGCAGTTTCATCAAATGAAGTGAGACCAAGCTCCTTACCATGAATCCCTCCAGTGATGAATACTGATTCAATGCCTGAAACATTTGCTCCCTTTATATCATGATGTAGTGAATCTCCTACTGCGATAGACTCAGATGGATTGACTCCCGCGATTGCCATAGCCGAGTCATAGATCATCTGCCAAATATACAGAGTCAACAAAGCGTTACGTTCAGAGTCAAGTAGCATCTTCATTGATAGTTCAATGTTCAAACCTTATAAGGCTTCCCCATCCATTTCACTTCTCCTCCGAATTCTTCATACTTGGAAGCTAGTGTACCTGACAAATTTGTGAGTGGCTTATACGAGACTTTATACAACATCATAAGTGGAAGGAAAATTTGGACAGTTTAAAAGATGTAAGTTAATGTACCTGGCATGATATGAAAAACATTTGCTTCAACAGTTACATAATCTGGATTGGCAACGATCATGGGTAGTCCTCGAGCTGCAGATTTCTCCAAAATCTTCTCCAACTCGTCCAGCGGCATTGGAGTTACACCGCCTGAAGGAAGTCCTAAGGCTTCAGTTCCGTGCACTAAAACAAAGTCAGCTTCTTCCACATTCTCCACAACATTTAGATCAAGACCCTGAAACAGAAACTACATCAACTACCTACTACTAACTTTCATCGATAAATTAACTAGAAACAAGGTGATAAGTAACCTCCAAAGAGATTGCTCCTCGATCTTTCCAAGTCATGTGTATACAATGCCTTCCTAGTGCAGCAAACCAAGGATCATCTCTCCTGTAACAGACATTTATCAGTAAGTTCTACTGAGTAATTAGCATTTATATAGCGAAGAAGAATTTGTTGGTAATAACCTTTGCAAAGATTGATGGGTTAGTTCACCACTAGTTATAGCTCCAGTGAAGAAAGAAGGATCAAAGCCAAGGCCTTCCAACTTTTCTATTGTAGTTGAAGCACGTCTAGAGGAATTACTTATGATCACGATCTTGGCACCCGCCGTTGCAAGATTTTTTACTGTAACCCCCAATAAAACAAAAGTTAAATCAGCCATAATGCAGAAACAACAACTAGACTGAAGAAATCTGAAAGAAAACATATCCAAGAAATGGAAAACTCAAAGCATATTGACATTTCACTTTTGGCTTCATGACTTGTATGGACAAATAATCATTGCCAAATCGTATCTGACTATATCAAAACTAGTCATCAACACCGAAGCCAAGTCCTACTTAAATACTGAACAGTGAAAAAATTGATTTTTATACCAACTACAAAAGGTTAAACCTTAATGGAATCAGCCAACTAGAATAGCGACGACATGTGATAACTTACATGTTGAGATAGCGCCCGGGTACGGTTTTTTGCCATCATGAAGGACTCCATACTGATCTAAGAGCCATGCCTGTGACACTCTTCATCAAGTTCAGCATAAAAAAATTTCTTGAGAAAATATTCACTAGTTTTTTTGATGAATGAAGACAATGCCAAATGTTAAGCTACACACATTCAGCTTTACCAAACGTTATCAGAAAATGTAATGATTTCTCAAATGGAAACTACATTTAGCAATCGACCCAAAACGAATTGTGCTCATAAATTTGGCAACTTTTTATTTCAGAATCCGTATACAAGTAATCAGAATCCCAGATCCACTTTCTT